CACTGCAAAACTTGGAAGACACCCTTCACAAAGGGTTCTTCCTCCTTATGAGTGGGGACTGGTTGGCGTCGGTGGGCTGGTAGTCGTTTCTGTTGTTGGTCAGGTCGATGGTTACCTCTTGATTGGTAGGCTGTGTTGTAGGTAGGTCGGCGATGGGGTGGGATATAGCTGGATGGGTTGGTTGGTGGTCGGCGATTGGTAGGTGGTAGAGGTCGATGGAAGACAAGGCCGTTGTAGGGTACGTGATATTGGTTTGGTTGACGATTAGTGTTTCTATTTCTGGCTTCTTGCCAGTGGTTGTTGTAGTTGGGGAGCATAATGAAAATAACTTGGGGTTAGAAGGGAATGTACAGGAGGAAACTGTATATGCTAGCGTGAAAATGTTGGGATCAAATTATGCAAATAAGTCAAACTGGGTTTGGGGATGTATAAAGCAAGATGAAAAATGCAAAAAAAATATATATTTAGGTGATAAATAACGCTTACAATGATGTGAAAAATTATAACAAGTAAAACAAAAACTTACGCAATTGACACAGGGGTCTCGGAATGCAGCAGAGCATAAAAAAAACATAATCCCTGTGGAGGGTCCCCTTTTATCTAGTAACATAAGATTTTGTTGTATATATATGCCCTTTGTGGGCATCAGTTTAGTCACTGACGATTTAATAAAGAAATGTCATATATAGAAATAAAACGTGAAGTTACTAGTTGAGGTATTTTTAAAGGAATTATGCTACTTTCGTACAGATCTAGTACGTCTTAAGACCGTTTACATATTATGTAAGGACCTGTCCTGTTAAACGAAGGATGAAAAATGGGATCTTTGCAATCTTTCGCTTCAATCGCGAAAACAAGGTTTGGCTATTAATGGGACATAACTCTTGCGTTAAAGTAAATTAATATTTTACCAATCTCTTAGGGCCGTAAAAAAGTTAGGATTAAGGCTTTCATTTTCTACTTTTGATAGTCAAATTTAAGCACGACTTTCGTAAAGATCGATCGGTGCATTCCTAAAGTTTGACTTAAGTCTAACCTATAGTCAAACTTCAGGTAAAGTACGAGAGCTGCACATGGCCCTTAATATTTTCGCATAGACCACTATTTATATTTCGGCATTAACTTCCCATGTATTATTATAGTAATTGCAGTTTGCAACTATTTTAAATTAGAAAGAGAATTAATCCCCATAACCTCTACTGTAGAAAGTGATAAATTTGTCCTTTGCTTTTTATCCGATTTCCATAAAATCTCTTTTGGAAATGATCTGCAAAAAAAAACCAGATAATTTGTACTATACACATAAACTCATGAACTATTGAGCATCGATAACGCATCAGATCGTCTTTGGAGATTGGTCTCTGTTCCAGCCGATAGCTGTCAGAATATGTCAGAGACTGTAATAGAGACAGATGTTTCGGACAATTTATCGGTAAATTTCCAATTGCATTTTTAAAAGTTACACGAATAGCTGAAATTGAACTGGATATCGCAATTACTCAGATGGATTTATTCTGGTTTCTTTTCGGCAAAGTCTACGCGTATTTTAAATAGGATTTGTGTTTTTAAAATAAATCTTGAATTATATTCAGCCCAATGCAACTGACTGTTCGCTTGCCATTCCACTGAAAGATAAACTGATTAAAGAGATTGTAAAGAGGTTTTCTAAAAAATATTATGTGTATTGGGGACACTGATAGCTTCAATTTATACCTTTTCCATTTTGTAATCGGAACTCTGAGATTCCTGCAATTCCGCTTATAGTATGTGTTTGACGTCACTGACCGCAAAATTTCCTTTATCACCTAAAAGGACCTTCGCGATAAGTGACGTTATCAAACGCATAGTTTGCAGGAACCACAGACGTCTGATTGAAAATTGGAATGATGCAAATTGATGCTACAAATGTCCCCAATGCACAAATATTTCAGAAAACCTCTTTAGAATCCCTTTAAAGAAAAGTAATTTTTTCCATCCAATATAAATGGAAATTGATTTAGTAATCGCTGTTCCTTCAAACACATCATAAAACTCATAAAACTGCGGTTTGCTTGACTGCACATATCTTAAAATTGGAAAATTTTCCTTTTAAATTTTTTCGGAAAGGATATTTTATTTTTCGTCAAAGCAATTTACGACCTAATGCCATTTAACGATTATATTAAATTTCATCGATGAGAGCATTTACAAAAGAGGAAGTTCTTGCCAGCATCGTCTTCAAGGTCATAGGAGAAGAACGTGAACTGGTTTTCTTCAAATCTACTCGATAAGTGCTAGGCATGACAAGAGTTGATGCATATTTTTGGCATTAAATATATGAGAGATATTGTTAGAGAAAACTACTCTTTTGAAACTATTCAGAAAGTTACCTTATACAATCGTCAGAAAAAAGAGGTCGCCTAAAAGGCTACACACCCTTACAACAGCACATAATGGCAGTTTATTGAAAAATGGTAGTAATTTAAGTTGTGGCATTTCGAATCTTCTACTAGGCCTGTCATTGTTTCTATGGACTTCCATTGCCGTTGCTCCTGTCTTTTCGATCCATAAACATTTGTACATTTGTTGTCATTGGAGGCTAAAATTTTTATTCCATTTTGGTAAAACTTGGTAGGCATGTATATAGATGTGGTATGAAGTTGATAATTATTGCCTTGATTTAATAATATATATAATAGGCTAGTGGGCGCTATGAAAACTACAGTTTTTACCTGATCTGGATCAGGCATCTGTTTATTAATGTGACCTTGACCAAGTTATGATTAAAAGAATGAATAAGTTTAGATTTCGAGGAAGGGTTGGATTCTACCAAATGTACAGGCCTAGGATGAAACATACTTTTTTAAGAAATTAGAACAAACGGTCTAGAACTGCTGGGTGTTTTTCTTCTTTTCTGATCTGAAATTAGATATATAATAATTATTGTCGATGACGCCCTTAACTTTCAAAATTCTTTTCAAACATCAGAGCAGAGTATATAATTTGATGTACGTCTTGGAAGTTGCTTTTGATTGAAAAAAGGGTTTTGAGGACAAATCAGTATACACTTGTAGGCCTTTATAACGTGTAATTTGGTGAACTATTAGATTTCGGGGAAGGGAGGGTTTGATTCTCCCAAATGTACAGGCCTAGGGTGGAGCAGACACTTTATTTAGAAATTAGGATTAAGGGTCTTGATATTGGGTTTTCTTCTGTTCTTATTCTGATCTGAAATTAGAAAAAATAACTCGCCCGATGGGCGAGAAGTATAGTATCTGTTATGTACTGATTGTTTTTAGTTTACTATGAACAATATTATCATTTAAGTTCTTATTTTTTGAATATGCAACTATCATTTTCTGCTTATAGACATGGGGGAATTTCTCTTGAAGGCTCTTATAGTGGGCATGAACTATCTTGCTTGCTCGATTGCTGGTTGTATTAAACGGGACAACAAAGGGTGCTATGCCTACATTATGATGAATATTTAGTCCTATAGGTCTTGCTGTATTCAATGTCTCAATCCAATGGGCCTCCCTAGATTGACGGAATTTGGTAGTTTCATCTTCGGGCAAGTCAATTTCTATACGCTCAATTGGGATTAGGGTGAGATCGTCTATTGAATGGTCGTCCAGGTTGAAATGATTAGAAACAGGCTTGTCTTTCTTTAATTTGATGTCTGACCTATGAGCATTAAAGCGAGTTCGTAAATTATTCTTAGTTTCTCCTACATATTGTTTGGGGCATTTCTTGCATGAAATTAAATATATTAC